TCCTTAGCCGGCTAAGCCGTTTACTACCTAATTTGGTAATTTTATTTCTATAACAAGAAAGTAACGCAGAAATCTATTACCAAATTTAGAAATTCTGCATGCAGATTATTAGCCGGCTAACATCATTATGTGAAATTGAAATATTATGGAGTAGGATGAAATTCTGATTGGCTAATTTGAATTTCACATATGTGAATTGCGAATTCACATAATTTCATTTTCACATACAACAGTATCGAACCTTTGATTCTGGTATTTTACAGTGGGATATTTGTCAGAATATAAAGCTAAGGCACATGTATGGTCTTTCAGTCTAATACACCTCTCATTTTCACTGGGGCAGATAAAATGTTTATCACTAACATAACATATAGTATTCCTTTGTGTATTGTCTGGGTCTTTAGACTTTTGTATATTTTGAACTAAAACTTCATTCAACACTATCTTCTTTTCTGAGTTTTTAGTAATTGCTTTACAATGTGTCCATTTTTACAGGTTCATAGCTATTGATTATCCAAATTACATGTTTGAATTTGACATATAAATAAATTATATGTTGCTAACACATCATACATTGTTGGATTTAAGATACTCAATACCTTCACATAGTGTAATAAATTATGTGTTTTGACAGGCCCAAATAATCTTAATAGTACATTTGATGTTTAATAGTAAATCACCTCTTTACTACTACTATATAATACTCACTTTTTTAATGTGTGATCCCAAAAAAAAATATTGAAAATATTCAAAATTCAAATATACCATATGTGAAAACAGCAATTTTTCCTTTTAACAAACCAACAAAAAATAAAAATGCAATCTTGATATTGGACTGCTATGCAAGCTAATTTTAAAACAAACTTGCATCTATATGATTTTAATTAGTGCATTCTAACAAATAATAATGTAATGAAAATATCCTTTGGAATATATAATTATATAAATATAATGCCTTAAAAACTTAGATCTTGACATTCAATACAAATTTAGAAGCACACACAATACCTTTTTACATTTTGTACTTCAAATTGACAGACCTTGAATTTGCCATTTTGGTTGATTAACAAGTCCTTTTTAAATCAATAGAAAAACCAAAAGAAATGATTAATGAGCCAATTCATGCATGCACCATTATGAGTTGCAGTAAGTTGGGTACATTAAATATATGCTTTATACTTATCACCACAAAGGCCAATGCAAATTTTATTGATGACAAATGATTTAGTAATTTCTTGGTGTTTTTATTTCTTTTACACCCATCATCACCTACATGTTGATTTATATAATCTTCATTAAAAGGGTGCTTTAATTTTATTTTATTACCACAAATACATGTAGCATAAATACCATCTTCATGATCTTTTGAACAAATTCATGGTTTAAAAGATGCTGTCTAGTATATTTACAATTTTCTATAAAAAAAGAAAAAATCATTGCACCACTTAAAAGTTACTCAAATTCACAACCTCCTACCTAAAATATCTTATTTTCAAATGTTTCAATGCCCAATTCATATGTACCATCATCAAAAAAAAGGGTAATTCTACCCAAAATTGGAATGTGCTGTCTCCTAAGATTTTTCAGGGTCCTAACTTGATGCATTTCATCGGGTGGCCTAGCCTTAAAACATTCAGTTGGCCTGTTCAAATCCTGGTAGCCAATGCAAGGCTTGGATCTTCCATCAATTTACTTTGTATTATGGGTGGCGGGTCATTATTTCTTTTTTGGTAACATTATATGTAACATGTATTAATTATATTTTACTAAGTTTAATAAATTTGAAGTGAAGTCTTAGTATAAAAAAAAAACTTGATGCATTTCATTTTGAATTCCATAAGAGTGCATAATGCTCTTATCATTATTATAATTAACATCATAATAAATGTCATCATCAATCAGCATTGTAATTTCTATTATCTCCTTCAATAACATTGGTATTCATAATATAAACCATATTAATAAAGTGTAGTGGATATAGATGAGGAAGAGTATGAAGACATGAATGATATCAATGACGATAATGGTATTGAATTATTGTTGTTATCAATGATGTTTTATAATGATTATGCTTATTATTAAGCTCATAACAAGTAGTTATACTTGTAATGAATCATTGTCATTAATTATTTACACTTAACTTTGCAATTATAAACATCTCTATACCAACATTTGTTTTAGGGTAACAAATGTTATGGATATGGATAACTTCTATGATGGATTACCACAGAGATGATTTCATTGAGACTTACAAAAATTCTGGACTAAAGATCTTGATCAGAGATGTTTAGATGCTCAACAAGATGATTTGGAGACTAATATTATCAAGCATCTGGAAAACCATGATGAAGAAAAGTTCTTTGATAACAAAGAATCTGAAAAACATAAAGGAGCACCCATTTTGAGATGCATGATACCCGAGTGTGTAAAATTCGTAGTGCAACTAACTAGTAGAAGTTTAGAAATTATTTCACAAATTCAGAACACTCCAACATTCCTGGCATTGAATCTTCTACACTGGTTTGAAGGTAAAAAACATCCAGCAAAAGAATTGGAATATGAATCTGGTTCATTATATCTAAAACTCTTAGAATATGAATCTGGATCCTTTAAATTTATAATGGTTATTAGTATTCTCGATCTTTCTAAATATTATATGTATGACTTTTGGTATAGTTATCTCAAAAAGAAATACGGGGATAAAGTAAAACTCCTATATACTGATACAAATTCATTAATCATAGAAATTGAGACCGAAAATATTTATCAAGACATGATAAACGATTGTGATTTATTTGATTTTAGTGATTATCCCGAAGAGCATTGGGTGGTAAAAAATCTTCCAGAAGATCAATGGATAATTAATGAAGAAGGTAAGTGTGTATTAAAAAATACTAAAGTAATAGGTAAGTGGAAGGATGAAAATGGAGGAGATAGAGCTATCAGCTATGCAGGAGTTCGTGCAAAATGTTATAGCATTGTGTGTGAAAATTCACGAAAAAATATGATCAAGGCTAAGGGTCTTAAAAAGTCTCTCATCAAGAAAGAGCTTACACATAAAATATTCGAGGACTGTGTTTTAGAAGGGAAAGAAGATCAACCACGAACTGCTCAATTCCTCCGAAGTTACAGACATCGAATGTATAGGATATTGCAAACAAAGAGAAGTGTTAACCCATTAGATACAAAATTGTGGATAGCACAAGATATGGAAACGACATATTTATATGGAGATTGTGAAATTCCGGAAGAATAAAATAAAATAAATCGTTCTACTTATTGTAATAAATATATCTATTTTTTGATTAATAGAAAATAAATATATAGAAAATAAATACGTACGCAAGCAAATATTAAAACAAGGATATGACGAAGTATCAGATATCATTGACCTATATGATGGAACTAGTTGCGAGCTTATGTGCAATTGAGAATATCTGGAGAATGCATAGTATATCTGCCTAAAATTATTTATCTGAATATTGGTTATTTTTTTCGATTAAATATATATAATAATACATTACTTGAAAATGGCGCAACTATTAGGGAGTAATGACCCAAAGGGTCTAAATATTTTTGATTTACCAGAATTGCTAGAACAGATCTTATATTTTTTAAAAATCGATCAATCCCTCTATCCCGCTTTATTCGTCAACCACCTTTGGTATCACTGCGGTGCTCCTATTCTATGGCGAGATATTGATTTTTTCATAGATTGTCAAGGAAACACATATAATAACAATTCATCTGGAGATCTTTATTGGCGATTATTGAAGTTTAAAAGAGTTATGTGTGGAAAGATAAAACCACTCTATTGTTCGAAGATGGTATATCTTAGTTTGGAAGGTTTAAAAATCTTGGATGCTTTGATCAGTGCAATTCTGCATTCATGTCCAGATATACGCTTTCTTATTCTTAATCGAAGTTATGGTTTTAGTAATATACCAATTATAGAAATTGCAAAATTTTGTCCGAAATTAATACACTTAAGTCTTAATTCATGTAAATGTCTCACTAATCGATGTATTACTGAAATTACCCACTCATGCCCAAAACTTAGACATCTTGAGCTTGGTGATTGCTCGATTGGTAATGAAGCTATCGAGGAGATAGCTGACAACTGTACTAATTTGAAATATCTTAGTTTGAAGGGATGTAGAAGGATTAGTAATGAAGTGATGAAAAAACTTAATT